ACCATAAAAATCCTCTTTTCCTGAGATAAAAGGGGTGATAGAAAATAAACCCTCCAAAATACATATGTATCTTTGAAAGGAGAAGGGAAGGAAGAGAGAAGTAGGATATATTTTATCTGTGTCTGATGGCCTGGAAAATAAATACTGCTGTTGTGCAACTCTGCAGCTGCTCACCCTCTCAATTTGCTGTTTTCATTCTGGTTTTTATTATTTAATCTCATATCCCTACAGTTAATCTGAAAAGGGTTCAGGCAGCTTTAATTTTTTGTCCTGCTCCAGATCATGATCTTACAGACCACGATCTTTGCAGACACCAAGAACCAATTCTCTTTTTTTGACATGGCTCACCCTCTGATAGGTGCAGCAATAATAAATTGACCCAAGAAACATGAAAACAAATTTTCTCACAATATTTTCACTTTTTTTTTTTTTTTTTGCATTGAGTCTTATGTCCTTGCGGACAGCTTTTCTTACACTTATAGAATGTACCACAAATATATATTGTAAATCCAAAGTTAAAATTCTAAAATTTTGGAAAGCATTTTGAATTCATACCAGATGGTTTAGGGGGGAAAAAAAAAAAAAAAAAAAAAAAAAAAAGAAAACCCCACACTTAATCATGGTAATCATTCACATCTACCTGAACTATGCAACATCATTTCAGATAGGCATTAGATTAGAAATAGTTGTGTCATTATAACCTTGCACTGGGAAGATGCATAGGTTGTTTCTTATTTCAGGAGAGCTAATGCTTAAAAAGATTGTGAAATGCCACATATATAGAAAAAAGATTTGTGAAGCAACACCTCTGGAATGTCACAAAATATTTACAACTTAGAACACTGATTTCATATGTGGAAAATGACTGAAATGGCTATACAATGGATCCTACCAGGAGCAATAAAAATAATTATTTTACAACTCAAGCATGGCAACACCACCTAAAGATCTAACAATTCACGCAAGCAGAATGACACATAAAAAAGCTTTATATCAGCATTAAGGTTCCTTGTTCCTCAGCTTTTATCATTAGGATGCTGTACACAGTTTAATAGGACATTATAAGCACTTACTTTGGCTTAGGCTTTGGAATGAAGAAATCAACCATTTCACAAGCTGATTGCCTGCTACAAAATGACTGGAAAAAGATTATGACTATTCAAATAATTTTGCTGCTAGAAAGAAAACACAATGTATTGAATGATGAGTAGCATAGGTCTTGGGAACAATAGAATGCATGAATGTATTTGATCAAAATAAAATAAAAAGGACTCTTTAATATAAACCAGAATTAATGTGAAATTGGATAGTACAAATCAAAGAACTGCAGTTCATACAGCCATAAATCTACCATCTGTGCACATCAGACCTCAGAATGGACCTTCTGAGTCTATGAATTACATAGAGTAATAGTCTGTATTTCTTTGATTCACATCATTTGGCAGTTTTCAGGGAGTCTAACTTTGTACTACGTAAGCATCCATACTCGGCTCACAATGTTACATCTGTGAAAACCACTACATATGGCTACTTCTCAACTGCCCTTAGCATAAAATCTCCATGCAACACAAATTATGCTAGTCTCACTTCAAACAATGTCAAATGTAAGACGGTCAGTTACTGAAAGTAATCTAACACTGGATCCTAAGGTGTTCCTGCTGCAGGCAGATTCTTCATGGTTTTACTACACATAAAGCAGTAATAGCATTGTAAGGCAAATTATAAATATTAGATATGAACTAGAAAAAAAATTAATAATGGAATACTGTTCTGATGATGGTAAGTACAACTTGCTCCTGAATAGTTTTTGATTTCTCTCCTGTACCAGATCCAATATAAGAAAAACATCCTTGGAGAATGTGCAATCCAAAATCATCCCAGACTTCTTTAAGGCAACAAATTTCAGATCAGTCAAAGATCTACAATCAGGTAGATCTGTCTGTCTGAACAGTTTGGGATCTATCAATTGCAAATGGGACTGTTGCATACATCAAGGGAACAGAATACTAGTCTAATCATTGAAACAATATTATTTTAATGAAGAATAACACTAGTAAAGAAAACAGGAAAAAAAATATGGTGATTACTACTGAAGAATGGAAAACCAAAAAAGCACAACCAAAAAAGACATAGTAAGGAATAAGACAGAAATAGCACTGATGTTCTTGAGATTCAAGGAGTGAATGTTGCCTGTTGCTCTGTGACCAACTTGTCTCCAAATGACCAGGATAAGATATATGATACTTGATATAGAGAACCAAGTAATGATTGCTGCAACATCAGAGGAAGCTGCTAATGTTCAAACAACTTTGATAAAAAATTACATTTTACCTATTTGAACCATAAGAACCCAAGTACATAGTCTCAGCTATACTTTTTTCAAAAGTGTTTTATCATTTTTAACTTTTCAAATTATTTTTTGTGTCAAAACTAATGTGTTTGGGATGAAAAATAAAAGAGACAATATAGTTCTCACTTCTTACTTAGTTCTATTATTGACGTCATGCAAGGTAAACAACCACTTCTAAATATTTAAGACTTTTTTAGCTACTTCCCAATTATTTTGGACATTTTGAGTGGCCATATTTTTTCCTGAAATTAACTTATCTAGACAAATGCTCTACCATACTAGAGTAGCTCAATTCCTGCACAGAATTAACTTAAAAATAAGAAAAAAAACCTGTCATGATGATTGATCTCCCATATAATACGTTTCTCTATTGTCTACTTCTTTCAGTTAATGTTAAAAAAACAAAAAACCATAACATAAAACATTCAGAAAAGAAGACAGAATACCAGAAGCCTTTATGAAAAATCATATGCAATTGCTTGACCAGAACTGCAAGTTTCAAATAGATAAATTGAGTTTTCTTAACTTGATCAATAATAATAAGCAGAACATATATAGCTTTATAAAATTTAATATTAAATTATATCAAATTATGATACATATTCTATTAATGACTTCAGTATATAGATAATAATATATTATCTTCTGCTCTTGACAGTGGTTGAATGTAATAAAATTGTAAAGCTTTCCAGTATTATTGCTGAGAATAGCAAGGGCACCACAGCATATACAGGTCCAAAGGTAAGGCCTATCCCCATCCTTGAATTCTGGGATAGTCTCTCAGAGATGCTGATATTCTCCTCTAAAATCCCATTTGACCAATCATTGATTGGGCATCAGGGAGGAGCATTTTTCATTATCTTCAGCAAGAGAAAGACAGTTACTGTGAGGAACATTAGGGAAGAAAATTATTCAGAAGACCCTCTAACCTTCAGTAGCATGTAATATAGATCATAAGTATATTCTAAGCATACTCATATATATTAGTTGAGGAACACTAGTATCTGTATCCAAAAAAAACAGGAAGAGTATATTGACTGAAAAAACAATCTGGATTTAAACAATCTGTTGAGTAGAATTGTTCACAGTTGGCAGAACAGTTCTGATTTCAGGCACAATGTCTACATTCTTCCTGTTGATAAATACTGCTTTATACTGTCCATGTTTATCATATAACTCTGCTTAGGGTAATTGTATATTACATATCTGAATTATATATTTATTTGTATGTCCCTCTCTCCCTCTCTCTTTCTGCATGCATGTAATATAAAAACGCTTTCAGAGTTAAAAGTATTGCTGAGAACAAGAAGGGCGTTTTCTATCATCACATCATGACTGATGCCATTTTCCTGGCAAAATTAAGGAAAAAAAAAAGAACTACAAGAGAATCAGTCTCTCTCCCCTGCCCCTTATCATCAACTTAAGCTGCCAGCTATATTTTTCAGAGACCATGCATGTAACTGAGGAGCACTCAGAGCCACTAAGTACTGAACCCATCAACTGATATTAGATCAAAGGGCAACAGGCAGAATAAGTTAAACAAAAAGGGTTAATTACATTCAATTTGTTCCTAAATAAGATCAAAAACAGGAAATAAAATATGGTGGAATACAAGAGGTGAGGGAAAAGGAAAACAAGTTTAATTACATCAGCTGTAAAAGATATTCTAGCTGTCTAACTTGTTTCAAGCTTGCGGAGTAAATATCGTAACGAGGTCATAACTGGGCAGCAGAAGAAGGCTGCCAGATTACACAGCTCTGGCTGCCAAATTCCAAGGCAGGTGGAGGCCTCTGGAGAGAGAGGGTATCATTTCCATGGAAACACGTAGCAATTCTTTTCTTTCCCTTCCCACCATATTTAAAGTTCTATTCTGGTCTAGCTTAGAAATAAATTAAATTTATTCAATGAAACAGCCTTTACTTTTGTGTTCCAGTAAAACATAGCCACAGAGGTTGAGAGCCTTCTGGTGCCTTTTGGTACAACCACATCAAGAAAAAGGGAGGGAAGTTCCAGCTCCAGTTTCTGGCTAAACTAGGTCTTAATACAGTAGCACTGAAACAGCCACAGTTTCAACTGATGGCAAGAAACACTGAGATAAATCAGTGAATAAAAAAAAATTCATACTGATGAAAATAACAGCAAGAAACTGAGAAATCATGAAAACACTCAGGTCATCACACAAAGATTTCACCATCTTCAATACTATATACTTCAAATACTACCAGATGTTTTAGTTCAGTAGTCTGAACGGCCACCATCTTCCATTAACCTGATTTTTTGAATCCAATTTTTGATTAATAAATTCTGCTATAAAGTTAGCAGCCACAAAAAAATACAGTAACATTCTGTACAGCTCAATGACTATGACTCAACAAAGCTGCAAGCACATGGACAGTGCTCTGTCACACTGCAACTGTCACTTTCCATGTTGATTTTTTTAATGAGAAGGAATGAAGAACATACTTGTCCATGACCATCTGAATACAATAAGAGACTCCTCAGCTTCTGCTTCTCATGATTGTTTCAAAAAGCCCAGTATGTATTTTAAACACTACAGAATATGAATAAAATAAACCTTTAAAAGATAAAATCAAATTTGTAGTATAAATTCAGCAGATCTTATCAGTATAAATATTAAATACTTTCTTACCTGTCTGATATTGTGTCACTTGTTACTTGATGCTTTACTCCTGAACTGTTCTTAATTGAGTCTTGTCTTGTGAGCCCTTGAGATCTGTTTTTGTCCAAAACGTGTGTGGATATGTCACCTGAAGGTCCTTGGTACTGTGAATGCTCCTGCAGCTTTGCTTTTTTCTCTTGAGGTGCTTCCTCGTTCCGCAGACCTCTAACACCTTCTTGGTCAGGCTGCTGTGGTGCACTTGATCCACTGTTATAGAACCACGCTCCTGATTTTGTGAGGATTTCTTGTTGTTTTCGGCACAAGTTACATACCCACATTACCTGTTCAGACATATTTAAATGGAAAATCTGTTAGCTTGTAAACACTATATACAAAATTTCATCAAGCATACATCAACTGATTGTTGTAATTTCCAAAGGTAGAAAGAATACTATTTTAATTCTTTCTATTAAAATTATAGTAGTTTAGTCACAGCACAATAAAATATGTCTGTACAACCTTGGAGGAAGTTGTTTTAGAAAAAAATGCAAACACAAGAATACTTTTATTCTGCTTTTGCTTCATCATTTATAATAGAGGGGAAAAGCACATATAGTAGCTATATAAATAAAAAGGATCTACATATTGACATTCCAATGACGTTAAGTGTAAGATTTGAAAACGAAGACTATAGGTTAAGGATAATAAAAAAAAAAAAGGAATAAAAATTCCATTAAACATGTAAACCATTCTCTTACTAAGTCAAAGTAAGGAACTTTGGAATTGATCCTCTGCTATTGCAAACAAGTAATTTTTTAATTATCCAAAATGCTCTGCTGATTTACTTCAGCGGTGGTCTGTATCTTATATTTACATGAAGCTGGCTTCAAGCAAAGCTATTGTAAATTAAAGCCATTTTATAAATAAAGTAGTACAATATATAAGATGGTGAGTCTCTCCACTTCATAGCCAAGATTTAGCTTTCACTGTATGCTTACTAAATTATTAAAACTATTGCAGCTTCCCAGCTGTGAGATCCTGCATGTAATAATGATATTTTTTAATATTCTAAAATGTACTTGCTTGCAGAGCTTTTGTATCCCATCACCTTAGTCACATGGCAGTGCAGGAAATTGCCAATGTCAATTATCTGTAAGTTAATTTCATGTTCCATTCTTATGTTATATGAGAATAAATTAGGATGTAATGAATAAAATACAATATACCAGTTGTTAATACAATGGCACATTCAAACTGGTTATTGTGTTAGACTAAAATTTGGATTGTAGATAGCATTAATTCACTGCAAGTTTAATCCTTCACTCTTTAATCTTCATTTTTCTTTAGCCCTAACTCAGGTCTTCTGGTTTTTATATATTTTTGTCTTCGTTCACTGACAAATTGTATCATTTTTACTACACATTCCCTGAATGTCTACATTCAGCCTTCAATCTAGTTATCATGCCTCCAGTTCTAATCCTACACTGAACTGCCTCTTTTTCAAGGGTTTACAGTACAGGACCTTCAAAGGCTTACATTAATGTTCTTCATTATTCTTTTAAATGCAGCTAGCTCGATGGTTGAATCTCATAGAAAATGTAGTTCCTACCTCCACAATACATCTAGGTCAGTCCATCAGAAAAGGTTTCAGAAGCTGCAATCTGTATCTTACCTTTATTCCCCAGACAGTTATCTAACAGAAAATCTGGGGCATACTGTTTAGTCAAATCTCACCAAAAATGTTTTGGTGAAAGCCTCATATAGAAAGAAGGCTACTTGGATGCAAGGTTCGTACTCAAACTCACAAACTGCCAGGCTGGGACAGGGAAAGGAGGCATCCCTTGCCTGTTTAATGGTGGCAATATGCCCCATCCCAGTAAACTTCCTTCTTAACTTCTTATAGTGCTGATTCCATCTATGAGAACTACAAACTATTGAACTATCAAAGCACTGAGGGTAAAAAAGAGAGAATCCCTGAGTAGCAGCTAGCTGTCTGAAGCAGGTTAGATGTTCTAAGAACAAAGGTCAATACTTGAGGCCTGGCCATCATTCAAATACAAATTTCAAAACAGGTCTGTTTTATCTTTGTTAATTAAGTTTGAAAATACATGAAAGCTCGAAACTGAAATTTCAGCACCAAAGACAGAAGTATTTTTGCCATCTTTAATCAATACCAATTAAAAGCCTTTAATATTTGTTTAATTTGTATGCAGATGAAATAGGTGCTAAACTTTCCACATATGTGTCAGTGCAATGAAAATACAAGATACAAAACAATTATTTAAGTATACAAATACATAACAATTTGAATGACTACAAGACAAAATCCCCCAAAGTTTTTGTGAGCTATTTTTCCTTCTATTAGTAGATGTTAAAATGTCACAAAAACTAGATATCACAATCTAAACACTTGAGCAGCTATGTCCTTGGCTGACAGCCACATTTTTGTCCCAGGATAATGAACTCTAGGATGACCAGTAATATTCTCTTGTACCCGACAGAATGAGAGGTCCTTCTGAATTAATATGATTTAATATCTCCTCCTCTAAAAGTAGAATCAGGAAGACTACTCCTGACCTATCCTCTTCTCCGTGACACAAAATTTATTGATCTGTTTCAACATAAATCTCAGCTCCTGCCAAACCAAATAGATGACCATGTACAGCAGAACAGAGCAATGCAATTGTCAGTGCCCTGAGACCCACATGAAACAATCAAACAATTTATGATAAAAGTTTGATCAAACCCAGTCCCTGATTTAACATGCTATGTCTACCTTGTTGTCACTATCTACTGTATCATCATCTCCTATTTTATTTCCATCTCTTCCGCTTGGAATCTGTTTTTCACTCACTGTCAGTGACACTTCAAGGAAGACATCATGTATCTCCTATGCCCTACTGAAGTCAAACTGGTTCCAGCTGTTTCTACTGTGCAATGTTTCTTATGGACTACCACAGTAATTGGTAGACCTGCAGGAAACAGTATGACCACTTAAGCTGAAAGCACCTCATGAAGCAGAAAATTTGGAAAAAAAAAAAAATTTACTTAAGGTATTTCATGTTGGAAAAAATTCAAACATGCAGCATGAAAAATGCATATATTTATGTATTTTTCAGATTTTTTCTGTGTTTATAAGAGTATTTCATAATATTTATACCTAACACTTCTGATAAAGCTTCATTTTCAATGTCTTTTCAACATGTAGACTTCCATAGTGTTGACACAAGCAGTTATAATTTTAGCTTCAAATAATCACAATGAACAGAAAGGCAACTGTCACATACACCTAGAAATTTACGTGCTTTCAGTGAGCACCAAAAAATTCAAGCCCTCAATCAGTACAGGACTAAATTGATTTCTCCATTTTACTGTAGCCTATAGAGGCATTCTTGCAATTTAAAAATGCTGGCAATTTACAAGGCAGACCTCTCAATTAAATGACAGATGAGCCTGTAAAATAGTGTCATAAGAGCACAGACGAGAAGGTGGCACATTCCTGGACAGGATTTCTCCTTCTGCCTCCAGGTGCCTGTGAGAGAGAGCTCAGCAGCTCACGCACAGGCAGAGCAGCTCTGTCCCTGCCAAGTCCCCACCAGGACAGAGCATTTCATGTGACTGTGACAGCAGCACAGCAGGGAAGGGAAGGGGAGACTACACCAGTGGATTGCATGCTTAGTACCTCCATTTTGACATATCTGCAAGGAAGAACCACAGAGGTTTGCCTTCTACAACTGTAATTAAAAAAGATCTAATCCCTTACATCAGAAATCTGCACTCTGAAGTAGGCATGCTACCTACTACACCCATTTTCAAATGTCCCAGCCACCACGCTGAAGAGTTCAACAGTCATGAACACATTTTGTACGCAAACATCACTGTCGCAATTTGTCTGTGTCAGTTCTTCTCAACACGGGGACACTGCCAATTTGAAAAGGAAAAAACAGACAAAAATCTGCTCTCCAGCATCTCTAATTATTATTAAAGTACTAGTTTAAAACTGGAATCTAAAGTGCTAGTAGCACTGAACCGAGATGTGCATTTCAGTACAAAAGACTGAAACACCACCTAGTGCCTAGGATAAGAATTGCTGAAGTTCTTTTCAAATACATTTCTCCTGTAAAGTGTGAAAATTACCTCACAAAATATATCTAGCCTGACATTTTCATATTAACTCTTAATTTTAATTGTTTTTTTAAGATGAAATATTTCTTTATACAACACTGAAGAGAAGTATTCAAAATTTGGATTAGACAGATTTACCTCAAACCTTCCATGTGCTTCCATTAACAAAGATTAATTCCATACATGAAACAAACAAGTTCTAACTCATTTTGGATTTCTTCACAATTTTTTACAAGATTATCCATAATAATCTTGTCACATAATTTCGTCACATAATACTAGCACTTTTTATTACATAAGTCCACAAAAACAAATTCTGCAAAACCTGTAATAATCATCCATTTCATATCTACATATCAGGCATAATCAACACACAAAAAAATCACTCCTTTGTATTTTCCTAAGTAAAACATTACAAATTCATCTATTAGATTAAATTCTCCAAAACACATTTTACACACCACTTTCAATTCAATACAATGGAAAAGATACTTATAAAGAAATTACACCTGCAGACTTTTTAAAGCAAAAAAATATATAATTTAATAAAAAGGCTATAGTATGATAATCATTTTAATATTTTCAGATAATTTATGTGAAAAGACAGCTACCTTACAAAATACCATTCACTATTCCCCTAAGTATAATCATAGATGGCCTAACACCAACTTCTAAGAACAAAATGGAAATCTTTATTCAGATTACAAAGCACAGTATATTTGACCACATATCATAGCTGAGATGCTACAATCTAAGAAATAATTACACCAAATCTTCATCAGACTTCATAACACTGCTTTGAAATATAGGTGTGCAGATACGCAAAATCGTACTGAAGGGCTTCCATAGGACAGTAATGTTTATTATTATGGTTTTACCAAATCTCTCGGCATTCATTTGCTTGGCAGAAGCACCTAATACATCAGCATTATATTAACTGTTGTGCTTGCTGCTAGTATTCTTCAGAAAATTTCACTCAGTTTAAATATATATGCTTTTGGCATTTTTTAGTCCTTGTATTTTATATAAAATACAATTCTTTAAACATTATACAAGGTAACAAGAATACAGCATTGAAAGGAAGGGGTAGAAAAATGGAAGAGTAGGAAAACTCTTTGCTTGGGGACAGCATCAAGGTAACTAATCATGTTCACTAACATATTACACATATTACAGTTAGCCCCTTTGTTTTTTTTGTTTTTTTTTTTTTTTCTTT